CTTTTTACCTAGACATTTATATCACACATTCACACGCCCATCTATCGTCAACAGTCTATACATGAGTCTTCTCTCTCTCTCTCTCCAACTATCTCACACACATGCACACACACAATCACACATTTTGCCTTACCAATCATACTCTAACAATCACTTAAAATTATGCTATCAAGGGTAACTTTATCCAATCAACACATCAAGTACCAGGTACTTGACTATTAAGTACAGTGCAGTTCAAGAAATCTCTCACAAAATTTTAATCAACACAACACCTCAACTCAAAAGAAAGCATGAGCTTGTAATATCAACTCTAGAGAGAAACTCATCCTACAATTTTCTTTGAATTAATTTCTCAATAGTTTTATAATAAAATTTTCTATTTAAATACATCAATTTATCTTTGGATTCAAATTTCTTTTTTTGGAGTAGAATTTTTTGACTCCACAATTAAAATCTACATACATCTCTGATAATAAATTACTTAATACGATAATTTACATACTTTCAGGTCATGCATTGTGGGCTCCCATCTTCCAACAGCTAAATTGGACCTCAAAAGAGTGAAAAAAAATATATGGTTTGGATGATACCACAGAAAATATTTCAAAATTTCAGATCTGAATCCAATATGAACTGATATTTAACTATAAACTTCCAGAAAGAAACCCATGCTTTCACTTAAATAAAATCCAAGAGTTCTCATCAATGTACGTAAATGGAAAACAATTAGGGAGACAAAACGTAAAGAAAATTATTTAAAAAACAAACAAAAAGAAACAACAAATAAAATTTGAGAAAGCAAACACGAGAGCTTACTACACATTAATTATGATTTCCTGAGATCAAGTCACGACAAAATTGACAAGAGGTCGTTGATTTTTTTGCTGACGTGGAGGCTATGCCAAATTTTCATCAAAAACAAAAAACATCTCTTGAGACTGCATCAGTTCTTCTCTGACTTGCAGCCACATCCCCCGCGAGGAGGGTCTGCTGCGACTGGCCTGACTTGGCCTTGCTTTGGCCGGGCTGGGCCGGCCCTGGCCCTGCGCCGGGGCGCTGCGCGCTGCACTACTTGTACTTGTCAGTCTACAGGGGGCTGAGCGCGGCTGACGCAGCTGCAGGGGCCGTCGGGCCTGGCAGTGAGTGAGTTGTACTGAGGTGACCAAGGAGGTGCTGCTCGGGGGGCGTAGTCGGTAACCGCGCGGCGCGTGGTGGGGCGGAGTGTGGCGGGGCGTGGCGGGCTGCGCTGCCCCGCCCCGCCTCGCCTTGCGCCTCGCTCGTCCGGAACGCCTCACGCCCCGCTGCAGTCAATCTCAACGATGTCCTTCGGGACGTCCACGAACTGGTACACCAGCCGCTGGCCGTCCACCTTCGCCAGAATGCCTCGTTGGTAGTAATACCTGTCGAAAGGAGCATTGGTTAGTCACTGTTTCATTTTAAGCGATTAGGGGGGGGGGGGGGCAATGCCCAGGGTACCCAGGGTCTACATATTTTTGAATACAGTACTTACCTTAAGGCTCTTCCCATGGTCTCGTAGTTCATGTCGGGTTTGTTCTTGTGCAGGCCCCACAACCTTGAGACCGCTTTGGAGTCCACTAGCTTGAAGACGCCCTTCTCCCGGTTTGTCCACTTGATGTAGCGCGGACAGAACTCTCGGTCTTGGAGTAACTTCAGGAGAAACTCCCACAGGTACGTAGTGGATCCTGAAGAAGAGCCACATTTCAAATTAGCACAAATCACAGAAGACGACAAAGTAAAAGTGGAGGTGTTTTACAAGCGGTTCGGTGTGAAGAACAGATAATGTGAACACAAACCTTCCCGGCTCTTGCGCTTCGCCTGGCCCGCAGGGTCGCCGCTCTTGAGCCTCTTGATCTTCTTGGTCTTGGGCGGTCTCGGGGGGAAGCCCATCTCTAGCAGGTACAGGTCGTCCGTGGAGGTGGCGGGCTGGACGTAGGCGCCGAGGCCGCCGCCGGGCGAGAGGGGCGCGCCCAGGGGCCCGCCCAGGGCGCCGCCGAGGCTGCCGGGCACGCCGTACTGCGAGCCCATGCCGTACGGCGACGCATGGCCGGGGTGGTGCAGGCTGCCGAGGTAGCTGCCGTACGCGTCACCCACTGCAACACGGACATGAAACACACGGGTTAGTCGAGGCCTCCACACACACACAAGTCACGTTTGTGACAACTCCTCGTCGTCACACTCAAGCAGATGCAACGCCGCGTCGTCACACGCAAAACAGATGCCGCTGCGACGCCGCCAGTAGCGCGCCCGCGCCGGATGAGCGGCCTACCCGCCAGGCGCTCGCCGCGGAGAGCAGGGCGGGGCCTGGCGCGACTCGAAGGCGAAGGGCGTCCCCAGGGCAAGACGCACGACGCACGCCGCGGCGTTGGTCACTTTCAGTTTCGGCGGCACGTAGGCCGGGTTACACTCGGTTACTCGCTGCCAGGGGACGGTGTGGGGTGTGTGTGGGTCCTTTCGGCGAGGAAGTTGAGCGAGGAGACGAGCGGAGAGTTGGGTGGTGGCGCGCGCAAAAATCACCGCCGCCCCCGCCCCGCCCCGCCCCGCCCGGCAGACGCGGGCGCTCCGACCCACGCCAAGTTTAGCCCGGCCCAGGCCCCGCCAATAGCATGGCGGGTGGCGGGTACCCAACACGTCGGCGAGCAGGGCCCGCTCGAGTAGGGATTTTAACTTTCCAGGGTGGTACTGAATTTTTGTCTTGAAAATCCTGAATTTTTTCCTCAAAAGTTGTATTTTTGAGAATTTTTCGGGAATTGTTTCTCTTTTTCCATTTTTTTTCCCTGGAATAGTTTCCAATTTTCTCGGAGAAATTTCAGGCTGTTGTAAAATCCCGACGCT